AATTGTGCCTACTGGGCATCCATAAAGAAATCCTGTCTTCAGGAAAGCTCTGGTGTTCAGTAACATGATGAAAATGCTGCTTGGTGTTTTATAAAACCATGTTTCATACTTCGTGTTTTCTCCTCATTTTGATTTAGTTCGTTTGAAAGATTTTGAACATGCACATTTATGAAAGGTGTTTCCTTAAAAGCATTCCTTCATCACTCTATTTACACACAGATGACCTGTGACAAAAGAGAGATTGTTAACTGTGACTAGAATCATTAAACTGGAAGAGGCTGCTTGGACTATCAGATTCAATCCCAACTGTATTCTGGAATCCAAATTAAAGCATCCGAGATAGATGAGCTAAAGAAGCTTCTTCGATGAGAAGTGAAATGTCTTCAAAGAAAAAAACCAGAAAGTCCATTTGCCTCTTCAAAAAAGCACTTTTTTGGACAGGTTATCTTTAGCTTTTCTTTTGCTACCCATTTTGAAAAGCTAGAAATTAATAATTATGTATAAAAAGTCAGCAACATGCATATCTGTAGAAAGTTGAAACATTACAGATATGTCATGCCAAAAATGGCAATTCAGTAATGCTGAGATTGATGGATAGTTTTGACAGATAAACAGTTCATCTATTGGCCCATAATATGGTTTGTTTGGGTTTGGATTAGCAAAATGAATCAACAGCACTACTCTATTGTGATATCATTTATAGGACATGGTTATATTGTCTAGCAGTATGTTTTAACTAGATTTTTATGGCTTTTTCTATTCTGTTTCAAGAATGCCATAATTTAATGTAATATGTGAGTTTGGAAATATATCTTTTCTGAATTACACTCTCCAAATATGTATATAAAAATAAGGCTATATGCAAAATGGCTTCAGCTTCAGAGACTGCTCTTTATTCCTTGCTTTGACATCTGTATTCTCCCATACATTTTTATTCAGTTGTTATGAATTCTGTCTGCTATTTGGTTTTATTGTTCTGTCCACTTGATGTATCTTCTTTCTATATTTCTTTATGCCTTTTGGCTTCACAACCTTTATTTCATATTGGCATATTTCCTTGTTTCATATAAATATCATTGCTCTCATATATTCTGTCAGCTTCTGTTTTCAGATATATTTCTAGGTTATGTTAAAAACTACCGTTAGAATTTATTTAACTTGTATGTCTTCTTGGAAGTTTGGTTTTCAGTTTAGTTAACTTTTTATTTCTGAAAATGTTTTCTGCCTGGGTTATGTGGTACGTTTTCTACAGGAAACCTAACCTTACAATTTACAAATTAAAAATTTGATTCTTGTGTAAGTAAAATCCAATTTATTGCCTGACAAGGAGAACAAAGAATCTGCCTTAATTAAATACAAGGGTCTTTTCTGTCCTAAGAATAGTTGACATATGATTTGGGCAGATCTTCATGGCTGAATTAATAATGCACAAGCCAACATCATCCTTTGGTGACTCAACTAAACAACTGATGTAATGGAACTCTTATAAAGTGATGGGGTAGGAGTTGGTGGTAAATGCTTGTGTACTTCCAAGAAGTAATGAATTGCATATACTTGCTACATGTGGGAATATTTTGATGCTTGAGATTTATATACAAACAGTCCACAGTTGCTTGAAACTCTCATGGGGCACCCACGGGAATATTAATTGGTAATAGTGGTATCTATGCATTAGCTTCTATATCCAAGGCATTATGTTTCCTAATGGCAATTGTTAATAAAAATAAGCAGGAGGGTGCTTATTGGCTTACCATAGGCATGTGTTTGGTCACTGCGGGAACACAGTGCTGGGCTGGATAGATCTTTGTTAGAGACAGTAGTCTTTTCTACTGAAATGGACAGAGCTTATGTCTATTTGAGTGAATCAGTATCTTTGCTGGCTGATCTTAAAAAGCTAAACAAGATCAGGCCAGGAGCATATGTTTCTGTGTATATATTTGTGTCTCTGTATTTGAGGGGTTGATTCATAGAAATAATAGTTCTTAAGGGCCCATTATCATTTTTACATGCTCTACACAAGAGCTGACAAACTCCCGGCCCAGATGTGTCACATGCTGGCCATGCCCACATCCAGTTTAGCAAAGGTAAAAAAAGTCCCGATATGTCACATGACACTGCCGTGATGACATGAGTTTGACACCCCTGCTCTACACGTTCTTTTAAATGAGCAACTATGAAACATGATACGACTTTCACATTTATTTATTTTTTATTTGCTTTACCTGTTTTAATTAAGAACCTATCAAGGGAATACAATCATGCCATTAAAACATTAATGGTATAACACTATAAGCAGTTATAAAACGTCAATAAAAGGAGGGAAACTTAAGTAAAAATCAACCAACAACCAAAGAGAAAAAAATATGGTGTCATTTAAAAATAAAAAGTCTTCTTAATTGTGCTTTCAATAATTTTCTAAAATTTAATACGTGCTGATTGAATTTCAGAGGACAAAGAATTCCCTTAAAAAAATAATTTTATTGAAGATATTTATAATGAAATTAAAGCCATAAAAGAAATTAAGTGTAACAAATAAAAACTGTAAATAGTGAGAAAGAAAATAGACAAGAAAAAGAAAGAAAAGGAAACCAAAATTGATAAGGTAGTGGTCCCTGATCTTCTTGAAGTTATTTCCTTCTTTCTATAAGCTACTCTGCCTAATCTTCAAACCCCCAAATCACATTTTCTCTTCTTTTCAACAAAAGGTTTGTAAGAGGTTTCCTGTCAATGAAAAATGTAGTTATTCATCTTTCTCTAATGAAACAGTTTAATTTTTCTGTCTCAACTATGCTCAGAGCATCAGTGTGACATTAGTGCCCAGAGCATTAGTTAGTGACTACCTGCCAACATTTGGGCTACTACATTCTGGAGTAATTGAAGCTTATTGATTGCCTCAAAGGCAATCCTAAGTGCTGATAGAATTTCATTGGTCCAGGTGAGTGGTGATGCCAGCATGAATTGAGACATCCTTCTCTTCTATTAAGTTTGCAATTCGTGCACCTGATGAAACTGACAAAAGATGCAGTGGTCATAACCTCTCCACTTGTCCATCTAGCAGTAGTTCTGGATCTAGGAGGACTACAAGTCACAAGCCTGTTCCTACAAGGCAACAGAGACCCCATCAAGACATATATCAAGAAGTTCTGATAGATAAACAACATTTCCATTTAACTAAGATTCAATTTCCACTTATTCATCTGCTTCCAGATACTGATGAGACATTGGCACTTATATGACCCAAGTTAGCAGTGAATAATTGGGTATCATCAACATACTAGTTGTAGTAGAAGGTAATTTGAGACATGATTGCTATGCTACACTCATCCTGCTCCATTCATGGTATTTTATCAGAGTTCTATTCATGTGAACGCTGTGAATTGAAATGGCAGAGTCCAGTTACAGGTTAATCGTGTCAATAAGAATCAGATCTGATTATCAAAAGGAAAATGACTCTGATGTATGGCACATTAGCACTTCCTACCTTTAAACCTTAAATCTTCATATAAGTTAGTAAGAGTCATCAAGGCTGAAATGTTTCTGCTTGTTCAATTATGTGAATTGGAATTCTGTTTTCTGTCATCAGAGAGAAGAAAGAATATTTGCTGTATACCTAAAAAGTCTTCTATGAAACCTGGTCTCCTTTTCTTGCAAGTATGGCAGAATAGTCATCCTACTCACCATAGCATAATCATTAATTTAAAACAGCTATTTTATCACTCTTGTGTGCACCATTGGTAATCAAGCCGTCTTTTTTGAAGTCACTGCCATATATAGTTTGCTTACTTTTCCCATCCTCTTTTAGACCTTATTCTGAGATGAAAGGCGTTTTGAAGGCTACTGATGCCTTTTCAGAAAAAGCATCTAATATGTTCATGTGTTTAAAACCCTAGACTTTGCTATTGTAAACCTGTATTTGGAGAGACAGCTGTCAATGTTACGGAATGCACAATGTAATACAATCAAATTAATTTCCATGTTAATATTAATTTCAAGTATAGTGTAATTTTTGTTATTACTTTGGATATAGATTGAGGAAGGCTTTTGATGCTGGTTTTTCTGAGAAGGTGTTTCAGATGTCAATATATCAAACATTTTGCATCAGCTGACAATAGTCTAACATTTGAGGGATGGTTAAATACCCTTAGATTTTGTCTACATTTATGCATTTGTTTGAGCCATGAAATATTAGAAAGGGGGAGTATTGCAGAAGGGATTTCATAAGGTATTTTTTTCAACTTTACTCCCCAGTAGTGAGAATGTTTGTAAGCAAGTAATGTGGAAGAAAAATTTATTGTCATATGCTGGGCATCGTGAACTATATCAGTCCCTATAATCTTATTTCTTAATGCTTCTTTATTGTCAAGTTGGATAAGCCACTTAAAAGTAATCCCTATCAAATACAGTAGTGAAGTATTCTAAAATTGTGTCCAAAATAATGTAAGAAGTAAATGGGTAAGAAGAATTTTTAAAAAAAAGGTTTTTTGGTTTTTGCCTTGTTGTTCTAGTGAATCATTACACTTTCCCCCATCTGTTTGCCCTATTTGTGCTTCCAAAGTGAGATCACTGCAACTTGCAACCAAAATATATAAAACACAACATAATGTAAAACATATAAAAGCTTATTCTGATACGTATTTTAATAACTTTTGTATATTGGTTTATGTTTATAAGAGCCATGGTGGCACAGTGGTTAGAATGTAGTATTGCAGGCTGATTCTGCTGACTGCCGGCTGCTATCAGTTCAGCAGTTTGAATCTCACCAACTCAGAGTTGACTCAGCCTTCCATCCTTCCAAGGTTGGTAAAATGAGGACCCAGATTGTTGGTGACAGTATGCTAACTCTGTAAACCATTTAGAGACTGCCGTAAAGTACTGTAAAGTTGTATATAAATCTAAGTGCTTTTGCTATACTTTCAAATTTACTTAGCAATAGTTTGTACTGCTATACTGCTGGTGCCAGTCCTACACTAACATTTAATATTTTTAAAATATTATACTAGGAGAAACTGCTGAAAGTAAACTGGAATTCCCTAGGCAATGGATTCGAAGAGAACAAGTAGAACACTATGGCATAACCATCCCTTATCTTTTGAGTGGTAAACCATGGAAACCAATAAAGAATCTTTTTGAACAGGTAAGTTCTGTTTCGACTATTGTTTTTTATAATATAATTTCATGGATTACAGTACAGAAATATATAGGACTAAACCCTTCTTCTTTTGTCTGAAGCAATATTTATATCTCTTTCCCCCAAACTGAAGCACTCTAGAATTTTGGGTGGGCTAATTAGGGAAATTGAATATATTTGATGTTTCTCAGATTGAAGGTATACATATCTCTGTCACTGTGCAGAATCACCTTCATTATTCAGAGATGTGATCACAAATAATTTTATTTTTCCTCAAAACGCTTTCCAGGAGAATAACTTGTTATTCTGGGGCTTGTAGTTTTGGTTCAAGGATACAAATTCTGGGCTTTTAACTTACCCAGGTTAAAGTGTCATTTAGATAGAGGTTTCTTGGTTATTCTTTCTTCCTCCTCATATACATTTTGATCTGAGGTGAAAAACCATTTAAAATGTTAATATATTTTGTTTTACTATTTGTTAACCAATTAACAGGCTTTGCACAGATATGGCAGAATCTCTCCAGATGACCTTGTATGTAGCTTCTCAGAAAAAGGCACATAGACATGATGCATATAGAATAATTCCCTTTTTTATTGTAGATAAAAGCAAAGTCATTTGTACACACAAAATATTGGTGTGCTATGGTATACACAAAAGATAAAACCTGTATAAAAGTCTGCTTTCCAGGATTCATATTTTAAGCTTCTTCCTCCTGCTTTTCCAAGTCAGCAGACATTTTGTCATTCTTTTATTTGGCCCTGAGAAGCACTTGATCTCTTTTGACATAGCAGTTTTGCCTTCTGGAAAGTGTGGGTTCTTGCCTTACCAGTTTCAATCCTTCTAGAACAAGGAATTACCAGAACAAATAAAATAAGATTGGTTGAATAATGAATTACAATGTTTATAGCCCATTCAAAAGCATTTTTTTGCTCATTTATATTTTTATATATCAAATACTTAGGATTACTTGCAGCACAATCCTATCTCTATATTTAGTAAAAGCTAAACTTTATTGCATTCAGATGGGTTTATATGATTTTTCAGGATGACTGCAGTCTTAACAATTATCCTTTGTTAGTGATTCATCTTTTAAAAGCTAAGTCATGGTGTGTGTTTGTGCATTTGTATGTGTCTATACAATATATCCTTACTTTAAGGGAATTGGTTTTACCAGATTTTGGATGCAATGGATAAGACATCTGTATCCTGTAAGTTCTGAACATTTATATAAACCCATTTCCATTTTATACATTTGTAACATATTGTATGTAAGAAATACATGTGTAAAATCCCATTTAGGTTAATTGATATTCTGCTTTTACAGGCAGCCTTTATTCCATTTGTATCCTAAACTATATTAGTTTATATTAAAAGTTTATGTTTATATAAAAGGAATATTTACCATTTTGTAAAACAAAAAAAAGATTATAAAGGACATTAGACTTACACCTGGCATTGTAAGCTAGTTAACATAAGATATCCTATGTATTTAGTACCCATCTAAATCTATTTTTGGGTTGCTTAATTAGAAACAGATGGTCATCTTTACTCTACAGAGATTTTCAAAAGTGATGAATACACTGTATTGAAAGAGCTTCAGTATAAAAAATTTCCGAAAAGTACAATAATGGCATTCATGTCATTAATTTGCTTTCCAATTGCTTGCAACTCAAGGTGAATGTTAAATAAAAATGCTGATTTAATACAGAGAGCTGCATAGAATAATAGTGCTCCCATTCCCTTGGAAACTGAAAATGCAATAAAAATATTTTGATTCTTCTGAGAAATTCAGCAAGGGAGATATATAACAATTTATTACATTTATATCATACAAAAACTAGCATTTATTATGAACCAGTCTGATTTAGATGAATTTGAGAAGAAGGTGATTCAAAAATATCACTTTTTCCACTGTAGCTGTTTATGGCCATGAAGCTTTTAGCTTTGATAAGAATGAAGTTGAATCAGAGGAGGAAGCTCAAGAAACATTTTTGTCAAATCCAAGATTAACCAAGAGTTATGAACATGCCAAGTGGACTGAAAAACTGGACTGAAAAAATGTGAAACACACTCTACATCAAGGCTGTCAAACTTCTGGCCTGCAGGCTGGCTGCATCACATGTTGGCCACACCCATGCCTGGTTTAGTGATTGGGAAAAAGTCATGATATGCCACGTGACGCCGCCATGACAACACAAGTTAGACACCTCTGCTCTAGATCTATGACAGCAACTTGCAACCAAAATTAAGCCCACACGTTCCATTGCTAAGTGAGAAATTTAAGTGAGCTTTGCCCTGTTTTACGACTTTTCTTGTTAAGTGAATCACTGCAGTTGTTAAGTTAATAACATGGTTGTTAAGTGGTCTGGCTT